TATGAGGATACCTCAAAGTATGCACAAAGACAGTACAGTGGAAATACTGACAGACTCTCAACAGAGGTCGATGCGACGGCGTACTGTCTGAGTGCATACTTTGAGGTATCCTTGTAATAACCTTATTATTATACATCTTTTCCTTCCAAAGATACATCATGGGAAATCTAAAAAGTTTAGAACAGAATCAGCGAGCTTCTTTGTGTGAGGTCTGGTCAAACCCCGGTGGCAGCCATGTTTGTTTTTATTATTAGAGGACGCTTATATGCACGTAATCATTCCATATTTGGAATTGGAATTTCCTTGTATGGTAGGATGAAAATACCCCGTAAAATACCGCAAAATTACGGCACGCTGTAACTTATGACGTTATGGTGACAGATGTATAATAATAAAGGATAACAAAAGATAATTGTCAAAGAATGAATTCTGCAAGAAAAAAGCAATTTGCAAGACTTCTTTTTTTCTTTTTTTTTTTTTTCTTTTTTTTTTTTATTGATATGCTTAACAAAACAAAGAAACAATACACAAAAACATTACAGGTTACTACACAAAAACAGACTTATGCTTCAAAATAATTAATGAATTCTCCCCATTTTTTATTGTGACTTCCCTGTCTGTTTTCTATAATTGCGACTTTCTTCTCTGTATGATAAATTAATTTGATATATGATCTAAAACCACCAATGTCTGGTTTTGTCCCAACAATTTTACATTTAAATATATAATAGCGTGTCAATAATAACATAGTATTATGTAGTGGTCTAGCATTGTATACATCCCCCAAAATACATGTTACTGCCCTTAACGTCAAAGTATCACCTGTAATGAAAGAAAACCAATCATTGACTGATTTGCAAGACTTCTTTGAGGCAACCTACATGTACATGCATAGTAGTTTATTCAAATTGTTTAGCTACATCTGATTTTAATGAAATTGACAAAGTACAGATGTTCATGATTAAGGTCCTTAAAGTTTCATTTATGTTACTAAAAAGCTAATCTAATTTGTTGTAACTGAACATATTTTGCCACTACATAACTTGTTATGAAACTCCTTTTTGACATGTATAGTTCAAGCTAACTGTGTAGTTGTTCATCTAGAATATAGTAAACTATCTCAAAATAATCTGCATTGATTGATGACAACAATATCAAAGAAATGACTCAGGTATTTTGTTTTTCTTTAACTTGTGACTTTGTGTGCAAAGCACACAATGGAATTTTTGCAGTTCGTGCATCTGTGTGTCTGTTCCACTGATATTTCAAGAACCAATTCAGATTTTATGGAACTTGGTACATGGATGCTCTAGAATGATGCTCAGACCTGATTAGTTTTTAGTTAATATTAATTACCTAATTTGCATAATTTAGCCATTTTGAAGCATTTTACACTTGATTCTTGTGTACCATTCAACATATTTCAATGACACTTTGGTACATATTATATAGATGCCCTGGAATAATTTACAGATCTGATTAGTTTTTAGTTGAAATCTAAACACATTAATGACCTAATTTGCATATTAATTTGCCAATATTTTGCTCATCAGATGCAATGAAACTTGGTACATAGATGCTCTATGGTAAGCCATAAACGTGTTTAGTTTAGAGTTGAATTTTCTGCTTACTAATTACCTAGTTTGCATAAATTATCTCATCATTGATTCCAATAACAAAAGATAAGGTCTTTCATAGCAGCACTTCTATGGGATTGACCTGCTAGTATGAATGGGTTCAATTATCAGTGTTCACTAATGACGTCATTGACTGGCCCTCTCTAGAGGCAAAATAACGTCATGCAAAGTGGTCGTTTGTCGTCTACTTCACAGCCTGTTTTATTTATACTCTATATTGAGGGCATTTCGTGGCACATACAAGTTGTTTTTATCGCCAGAATTCATTAATAGATCTCAAATTTCATGTACGAAGCGACAAAAGTCAGACCTCTGCTCCCCTTTAACCACAGTCCCTCTTATCATAGTGATAGAAAGGTTATGGTTTATCATTTATCAAATAATCTTTTCGAATGAATGCATGCATTAACCTTTAGCACAAGTTACCTTTTCATCACAAATTCACAAAAAAAGTTAGTCTGTAGTTTCCTTCAGAAGATTGGGACAAAAACAGCAAAATAATTGAAAATTCAAAGTTTGACTCAAAATTTAGTGTTCATTTCCAGAAATATTGAAGAATATAAGAAAACAATGCAGAAATATTTGGGCAAGAAAATCTGTCGGTGAAAAGGTTAAAGGTTGTTTGAACAAAACATCCTCTGAATCTGAGAACAAAACATCCTCTGAATCTGAGAACAAAACATCCTCTGAATCTGAGAACAAAACATTGAATGACCATTTCTCCATTCTACCGTATGTAGTGAAAAAGTGCACACACAAAAACTTTGATTTCAAAAACACGCGATGGCGAAAAGGAACCTAACTTGGAGGGGAAAATCTACCTATACACTGAAACTTAATGGTTTAGGTTTGAATCCCGTTCCAACTGCGGACTTCGTGATTCATTTGTCACACTGTAACTAACTAGCTAGAAACACATGAAGTACCACATAACTTAAAATCTATGACCAATCGCAGCCATCGCGTAAGGATCGGGAATAATTAAGATGTCACATATTACCCGTTTGAGCGTTAACCTCCGTGAAACCACAGTCCCTCTATAGGGTAAAACAATATTAATACGCGCCTGTTTACTTCTTCTGTGTTGTCTCTCCTAATCATCTATAAATGAAGTGCACTAATGTGGGCATATGGGTGACCAATCATGGTCGTGTACTCATTTATTGTCAAAATTATCAATATTATATATACACACTTTTACCTGTTGAGTCCTTGGTCATTTCAAGCATAGTGCCTGCGCCCTCGACCAAGACGCAAACCGGTGAGGCTGCGCCATATATTCTGCTTGCTTTTACAAATAAATTTCAATTATCTGCATCGACCTGACTATCAAAGTCGTCCTATTTTTCCTAAACATTATATATTTTATGTCCTAAAATTTATTTTGGCTTAGCCTTGGAGATTCGATAGTGGACAGTTTTTCGCAAAGGACGGCACGACACTCATTGGCGATGGGCGAAAAGTAGATTTTGCAGGTGAAGTGAATTTTGAAACAACAACATATTGGGGCGGTTGTTTTACAGTTTAATATTAGACCCCCCCCCCCAAAAAAAAAAGATCGCTTTGCAATGTTGACTTCCCAAAAATATACTCTTCTCTTTCTTGAACCTCACACTTACACATCGCCATAACGGCTAGTTCCGAGCCCGGTTCCGAGAAAGTCAGTCAAAATAACTGTACATTTGAATTCATCTCGTAGTATAATTTGGCCACAGTAACACATACGGTTGATATCGTGTTACGGAAAATAGGAACCAAGCAATGTTAAAATGATCCTAAAAAATTAACAGGGCTGCCACCAATAATGAAGTACTTAGCATTATTATCAATGGAAAGGAAATTTGTAATGTTAATTCCCAAAAATATTTGTTACGTTAGTCAGTTACGTAAAGTATTGTACTTTGGATTAATACAGTCAGCTATCGTGGATTATTGCTGTGTTGTATGGGGGAAATAAGTAGAGTTTTTACATTACAAAAAAGAGCAATGCAATTTTCAATGTTCTTTTTGATACTCCAACTAAATCTCTGTTTAGTTCAATGAATCTGCTCCCAGTTAGACAGCGTATTCATTATATCGCTGCTATCCTTGTTTTCAAATGTCTCAATAGTACTGCTCCACTGTATCTATCATGATGCAACAAATTTACTCAGATCAATCAAGTACATCAATATCATACTCGTGGTTCAGCACATCAGGATCTGCTTGTAACCAAATTTTGTTCAGGGAGTGAGCACAGAACGTTTAGTATGCGTGGTGTAAAGATGCGGAACTCTCTACCTGACAATATTAAGCAATGTACCAGTTTACCAATTTTTAAGCGTCTTTTAGTTATTTTCATTAAGGAGAATGTTGATAGATATAGTTTGTCTTATAATACCTGTGTGTGTACGTGTGATCCCATGGTAGATTACTTTCAGAGTTTTGTGTAATTATTCATATTCTTTGATGTAAATGGATTATCATTAAATGTGTAAATAAATAAATATGCATACGTGTTTTGGAAACGTCCAGACTCTTCCATTTGAATCACTATGAAGGACGCCGATCTTAGAAAAAAAATATGGGTTTGGGCGGCAATTAAGATTTGAGCTGGATTTCTTTTCAGGATAATATCAGTTGCGTTTTTGAAATGCGTGCTATTTTTTTTTTTTTTTTTTTTTTGTCTTAATATTCGTTTGATGAAATTATTCCTGGATTATTTTTGCGAAAATCTACCCCAGTTCATTATAAACCCATTACTATTATCTTAAACACTTAGCTTGCAATATCACATTTTTCAGGGTCCTGTGCTATATGAGAATGATCTTATTGCTAGTAGCGGCCACCACGTTTAGAATCCTAAAACGGGGACTTATGTTTTGACCTTTGTGCGTCGGTGCGTCCGTGTGTCCGTGCATGCGTGCGTTATATTATACATATGCACATCAATTTGTTTCACGATCTGATTCAAGGTGGCCGAATGGTGGCCATTTTTATGTTAAAAAAATCATCAAAATCATTTATGGATGGATTTTGTTTAAGCTTTGGACATTGGACATATCTCTAGTGCCATATCTCTGCCATGCTTTGACTGACTATGTTCAAATTGTATATATTCGTTTTACATCAGGTTATAAATATATAGATGTATTCATAATGGCCGACTGGTGACCACTTTGTTTTAATTAATGCTGTTCCAGAGCAATATTTATCAATATGGACAAGTACTCGTTTGACAGATACAAGATGTCAATCATTTTAATGTTAAAAAATCATCAAAATCAAGCATCATCTTCTAGATCCACACTTCCGACATGTTTATGTTTCAACTATATTACTACAAAAATGTATAAACAAAACTATATATCTTAAATTTGATAACTAACGAGGAATGTGCCATACATGGCTTGTCATTAATTATCTATTTGACTCAGTCATTAAAACTGAGTTGGAACTACTATGTCATTGACGATAATTTGAATACATAAAATCTTTTATTCAAACTTAGATGAATATTTTTTAGCTAAATAAAACAAAATAAGCTGTAAGAATAACAAAACATAACATTTAAAGAAAAATAAAAAAGACACGCGCCAATTTCGACGACCGGACCGCATCTGCCAAACGGCCCGGCTCACCGTTCACGGAGGACGCGTTTTGTTGAAGAAAGAGCATCCTTCAGTATGTTTTTATGTTTCACAAGCACTACCGTAAGGTCACTACCGTAATTTGAAATAGAAAATCAATATATATGCACGACTTGAATTTAGAAAACGAATAAGGACATATTAAATGTTGCATTTTCATTATTTCATTGTTGAAGAAAAAATATTGGCTGTCCTGACAACTTTTTCTAACTATTAATGGGCAAATTATAGTCAGAAAACTTAGTAAATCGTATTCAAGTTATTATCTGTTGAGCGCCATCTACGGATTACGTACGTATGACCTCGTTTTGGTTGCTAGTATTTCATCAGGTGACACAAGGATTACGCACACCGGCCTTGACATGCTTTATTTCAGTTTCACTTGTAGTATTGCTGTAGCGCTCTGGCCTTTAAGTTTTCCCACCCAGTGATGTTGTATATGTAAATCACTGCTTCCATCTCATCTACCGAACAGATTGCGCGCATATACCGTC